AAAAAAAAAAAAAAAACAAAAAAAAAAAAAAAAAAAAAAAAAAAAAATCCTAAAAATATTAATCATCAATAAACTTAAAAAATGTAAAAATTAAAATCTATAAAATTTATAAAAAATATTACATATTTTCACTACAAATAAATATTTATAGTGCAAATATATACAAACTAAACTTGTACAATTAAACATATGGAATATATATATTCATATGATGGATATAAAATTAAAATTTATAAAATAAAACTTTCATACAAATTATTATATGAATAATCTCAAAAAAAAAAAAAAAATAAAATAATAAAAATAATAAAAATGTAAGGTTAAATTAGTTTATTAAAATAAAATAAGAAAAAATATTCTGAAAAATATTATATAAAATATCTATACAAAAATATAATTATATAAAAAATAATCTTTAATTAAGTATATACAAATATTCAGCAATAAAAATTTAATACTCTTAACATTTATATATATATATATATATGATATACACTTTATTAATAATTTATTTTATTTTTGTTTATTTATTTATTTTTTTTTTTTTTTTATGAACCAAAATATTGTATTGAACGTGAATTATAATAGTCTTCTGATTTGTTATCAACAACAGATTTAATATTTTGTCTTCTTTTTTGTTTTTGATATAAGCGATATAAGTGCTTTTTTGTTGTTTCTGGTGTATAAAGTCTTGCATCAGGTCTACTAATTCTCTTTGTAAATCTCCATAAATCACCCCATAATAATTTTCTTGCATTTTTGTATCCATAACCTTTTAAAATTGTTCCATTTTTTGTTTTTAAATTTGTTATTAATGGAGAACTTTTTGTAACTACAAGTCTTTCAAAATTATATGGATATGAACATACATCAATTAATACATGTTTTCCTGCTTTTATTGTTGGCATTACAATTCTTGGCCAGAAAAAAGATTTTTCCTGAACTGTTAAGGCTGCTGACTCAGATTCATATTTTGTTCTAGGACCTTCACACTTTCTTATAACCAAATATGAAAATTTTTCTTCTTCTACATTTTTTGCACGACTACCTTTGCAGTATATATGATGAGATAATCTGTGAATTCTTTGAGAGAAATGGCACCAATCCTTACCTGTTAAAGATAATGGACAAATGCTCTCATGTGGACATGGTGCAACAATGTGAAATTTGTTATACTTTAATTCTGTAATGAACATTTCTCTTATTGAATGAAGCATACGAAATCCAGTAGGAGTTCCGTTTTCAACGATTACTATAATTCCATTTTTTGAAAGGCGATTCCATAAATTTTTTATGAAGAGAATTCTTGAATCATAGTCATACAATGACAATAATGTGTGTGATAATAAAATTAAATCAAAATAATCAGTATTTTCATATAAATGCATTTGATGTTTTACATTAGGTATTTTATCAACCAAATATTTAGATATTGATGTTAAATGCTCTGATGATTCAACTGTTAATATATTATCAAATTTATAATTAAATATTTCTTGGGCAGCTATTATACCTACTGCAGGCACCGCTGAATAATTCAAAAAATTTTTAGGATAAAAATCAGATATTCTAAGTTTTATTTCATGAAATATTCTATATATAATTCCATAATGCCCATTAAACTTATGAATTGTATAAGCAATGGATGCTTCAGGAAAAAATGATATATTAAGTTTATGTCTTGAATCTTCAGCATACGTTAGAGCTATTTGTTCTAACTCCTTTGATTTATTGCTGTACTGTGTTAAAAATTGTTTCAAACATTTATAAGACTTTTTATCTAACATTTTTTCTATTTTATTTTTTTCTTCTTCTGATTCGCATAATAATTTTGATGGAAGAACTCTTGGTAATTCTACACAAGTTCTACTTGTCAATTTCTTTGCCATAAATCTACCTAATTTTTCTAAATCCTTTTTTTTTATAAATTGTTTTGCTATATTATGTAATTTATTTTTAATATTTTCTGGTATTTTCAATGTTTTAAGGGAAACCATACTTACTTTGTCTAATTCTTCTATCTCTTCAGCGCTTAAACTTTGACTTTCACCTATTTTATCAAATTTATATCCTCGATGTGAAAAAAATCTTTTTTTAACATTTTTGCAAAATAAAAATTTATTTAATTTTGGCATATTAATAATATTTTATCTTACATTCAATATAATATATATAAGCTTTTTTTTTTTTTTTTTTTTTTTTATTTATTTTATAAATTTTGGTACCCACATTTAGAGTATCATGATTATCATTTAAAAATAAAATAATAAAATTTATACTTAAATAATATTACTATTAGTTATGTAGTCCTAATAAATTTTGCTATTTTTTTTGTAAACTTAGAAAAAAAAAAAAAAAATTCACATAAAAAGATATATATTATAAAATAAAATGTTATATAGAAAATATGAAAGAATATTAAAAGAACAATTAAATAAATTGACAATTTTAATTTTCCCTTTCTCTTGTTTTTTTTTAAGAACTCTTTAAATAAAAAATTTTATTTATTATAGAAACCAATAACGTATCGTTTTTTTTATCATTTTTCATTGATGATTACTTTTGATAAACATTAAGCTATTACTTACTTTTTTTCTTGCTTATAGTAATTGGTGTGAAATAGGTATTGTTCTTTTATTGAGTTTCAGAAAATTATAAAGATCTCACATAAAAAATCACCTCATTTAACCAAAGAAAAAAAAAAAAAAAAATGAAAACTAAGGTGCTTAGTAAATAATAATTTTTACTTTTTTTTTTTTTTTTTTTTTTTTTTTTTTAAAAAAAAAAAAAAAAAAAAAAAAAAAAAAAAAAAA